GTCATCGGATTAAATTTTATAGATTAATTTAAGTTTTTAACAGTCGTTTTACATCGTGTAAACATTCGTCAGCCAGTGTTATTTTACTTTCATAACAAGTTTTATTAAAAAAAAAACGGATTGTGTGCAGTGGCGCATCATCCAAAAAAAATGTCCGGACCATACAAAAACCTGTTTATGCAAAGTTTTTTTTATGTTGATACGGCTTTGGTCCACTCAGGTTTGTTGGCTCGTCTGAAGGCATCACAGTCATAAGTCGTATATGAAATCAAACCAGGGCAGTCATCGTGCAACTCGTTGTGTAATTCGCATATTGATTTTTTCCACACCTGAAGTTTTTTACGATTATTTGTACAACTATTAACTGCACAAGAAATGCTTCCGTGTTTTTTATAACTTTCGGCAGCATCCATTGTAAAATAAATCAGAAAATGAAAGAAATACAAATGTAAACAGAAAATCGATAATGTTTTGATCAATACACGTGCGTTATTTTTCACGGTTGTAATGGCGGATCGGTCACGTGAGAGGTTAATGGATACGCCCATGTTTTCTAGGTCAATTACAGATAAACCCGTCTATAGTACGCAAACAATATTTGTCTCATATTACGTTTTTTCATAGATATGCCTTTAAGCTAGATACTTTTAATAAGGTGAATATAAACAAATATATACACAGGCAACTGGTGTCAATGGAATCTACTCTCTCTATGGAATCTACTCTCTCTATGGAATCTACTCTCTCTATGGAATTTACTCTCTCTATGTAATCTACTATGTCACTAAATATATTTTGTACTTAGTGAAACATGGTTATGTTTAAGTATTTATTGGATAAGAACTACAATAACAGAAATAAAAGACATCTCTAAATTGGAGCTAAATAAAGAGTAGAAGTATATAATGCCATCATCTTCGCATTAAACCGTTCCTTTACGTGTCAGTTTCACCTGCCTTGGTTTCTCCTTTTGACATGTCGTGAAAGAAGTCAGTGTCCTTATTGTCATTCATATGTGGAAACATCTCAGATGGAGATGATCTAAAAATAAAATAAAGGAATAAATTAAGGAAGGAAGGAAATAATTGTAGATTTAAAGAAAATGTTTTACATTATGTTTAGGAAGTGGATTGAAGTAGAAATCAAAGGTTGGTTGACAGTCCTTGTCTTTTTCTACTCTTTATCTCGATATTTTCAACCACGTAAATGACATAGTGTGATATAGTTACTATTTCAAGGCAAGTGAAGTGGAGATTGAAAAATTATTAAAAATAGAAATTCTTTTTATCTGATGTAAACAATATCAAATAAATAAATCGTTCAGTGTGTCTTTTAAATATGCATAACGAGAAGATAATCAGACTTGCATACACTAATAAAGGATGCTTAATCCACAACATATGTTCTGACATGGTCTGACAATGTACATATTAAAGAACTGTTCCGTACGTAGCACGTTGAAATGCAATTAAGATGTCTAACTTATACCCAAATACGCCCTTTGTTCAGTAGTGTTCAAAATATTTGTCCAATTCATACGGTCAAAAGTAGAGAGACAATAAAAGGGTGCAACCACATTAACAAATCAACCTAACTTTCAAATTCTGCCAACTGATATATGCATAAAATATTTACCACAGTACACAAGGCAGCCAAAAAATACCAAATTAATCATTGTTTCAATTGCAACATACCCTTCATTTTTAAGGAATTTCATGGTATGGTCAATGGCACATCTAGAGCATTTGCAGAAGCAATGTCCTCTCCAAAGAACCCAAGCATATTCTGCACAGTGTCTTCTTCTGCAAAAGGCTTTACATCTTGAATCACAACCTGCATCTGCCTCGTGGACTAAATCAAAATATCATAAATGTAATCAATAAAAGCGAGATATTTTTTAAAGATATTGGTTATTTGGGAATATTTCAGAGAATCGTTGTCTAATGCATGTATAACCACACCTGAACTTTTTCTTGTCATTTACTCAGCACAAAGTATTTAAGTATTCGTCAAGAGATAATACAGACCACAAAAAGAATAGCATAAATTTGAAGAGGGATGAACATTTATGACAAAATGTGGCCGGCATAGTTTTAATTTATAGAGACATCCGGAAATTAATTTTGTTAATATTAGTTTGATAAGCGTAACAGTTTATAAACCTGAATCGAAGATGAAATATTGAGACAATAACAATTTGGAGTTCGGTATTTTTGTCATTTTATTTTTGACTTATTTTTTGTAAATTCGTTAAAGTTTATTTTGCAACCGCGAAGCAAAAAGTCCTTTATCGAAGCCACAATTCCGTCCTCTTTTCTACGATTGTGACATTCCCGAATGAGACTTATCATCATTCGTAGCAGTTGGGATGGCCGTAGGTGTTTTGTGAGTTCGTCTTGCTCAGTCTTTAGTTTTCTTTTTAGTGGTGTGTAGACTGTTCGATTTGTTTCTGTTTTTCAGGACATAGTATTGTCGGTTTTTCGTCGACTTGTGTATCCTCTTTAGAAACATTTTATTGATACTGCTCCCCATGATCAAATCCATCTTTACTGTAACAAATACTTTGACGTCGTCGTTCCTAATGAGTTTAAAGCGAACGCAGCAAGGACTTAAAACTTTTTAATCTGATTTTCTCACATTTTTGTATGCCATTGCATTATACTTCAAAAAAAATTGTTTTCATACCTGCAAGAATTACTGCAAGAGCAATAGCCAGAATAATTGCTACCTTCATATTCTTCTAAAGGAACGTTGATATTGATCTAAATGGTAAGGGTGGTTACGTCATTGCCACATACATGAAAAGTTATACAATGAAAAAGGAAGACGCAATGAATTGGAACATTAACACAGTAAACTCTCGTGAAGTATCAAATACGAAATTTTGAAATGTCTAATCGAAACAAGATTAAAGTATTTAGATTTAAATAATCATTGCAAAAATCAGAACAATCCCCAAAGTTACCTACCTTATGTGTATAATTCAGCTAATCAGCAGGCTTCGATTGAATTTAATTGGACAAATTAGCGAGTTTTATAGCATTTAATCCAGAAAATAATGACAATTACGTCGGAGGAAGTTGGTTTGTAAAACGAAATTGCGTCTTGTTTTTACTGTATTATGTCTGAAATCTAGACCGTTTAAATAACTAGTACAAACAAATCAAATTAGAAATAAAAATACATGATACCGGTAAAATAGTAAGGAAAACACAAGTACAAACTATACAATAATACAATAATAAGCAATATCGTTTCAAAGTAAGATAACATTTCCTAAAAACAAGCTCAAAGTACTTACTGTAAGCTGCTGATATGAAATCCTTTCATTTCATATCCTTATATTATCGGCGAAATATTTGCTTATCTTCAGTGAATTTGAGGGAAATTTCTTACTTTTGTTTTATCAACTCGTTGACAAATATCCCAATTTGAACATTCTACGATATTTATTGAGGGATTGAATGTCCAAATGCTTTTTAAGCAAAATAGCGTAAAATCAACAGGTCATCATAATCTGAAGAAAAAAATATAAGCAAAGATCCTTGATGTAAGATAAGCTATAAAAACGTCTAGGCCCTAGTGGTCCTACACAAGGTACGTAACAGAACGTACAATGAAATCAGTACAGTGACAGGACTTATCTCTATGATACCGGTAAAATAGTTAGCAAAATACAACTACACTATGTACAAGTAATAAGCAATCACGAATCAAGGTATGAAAACATTTACTTAAAACAAGGTCAAAGTACTTAAGCTGCTGATATGAAATCATGTCATGCCATGCTATGCTATACTAGTATTCTATTATCTATTATCGGCTAAATGTTTTATCAAATCGTTGTCAAATATCCCAATTTTAACATCTTACGATATTTATTGAAGAGGATTAAATGTCCAAATGCTTTTAAAGCAAAGGACAATAGCATAAATCTACAGATCATTATTATCTCCAAAAAAATAAGTATAAAGATCCAGGATGTAGGATTAGCTTTAAAAAGCGTCTAGACAACATAATGTGAAACATAAATTGGAAAGTATATACAACAGTACGAAAAAAGCACTGTACTACAGCATCTACAACCTCCTGTCTTCGGATAGGCACATTTAGTATATATACAGATGGTATAATAAAATGAAAGATGTCGGGATTATGTCAGTGGAAGCCAACTGCACCATAACCGCCTCTCCCAGTACATAAATGAATGTATAAATAAGTAAATAATGAACTATCTGCACATAATCATCCAATTTGCATGCAATAGTCCCTTTACAGTAAGCAGTCTATCATTGTTATTCCATTCGTATTTGTTTTCTTGATAGGATTAACCGGATATTTGAGGTTTTTGATTTGATAGATTTCCGACCGGGAGTAAAATAAATGTTGTTGAACAACTTAACTGTATCTGTATAAGTAAATATGCAGTTTATAAACCTTGTATTGTGATGGCCTTTTGAAACTAAATAAGAATGGACATATGAATTTATAAAGGTGGTTGAAGGGTGAATTTCAATAAAACCTCAGGTCCTAAAATATTTTGTCTTGTTAACGAAAAAAGGCAAGGGAAAAGAAAGCTAGTTCTATATCAATGTTTATATCCATCAATGAAGCAGATTTGATTGTCTCAGTAATATGTCTAATTAGGTCTTTCCTCTTTCCAGTTTTATAAATTTTCATTAAACAAATCATCGAGGAGCAGCGCACATGTATTTAAGGTCATTGCAGTGCTTATTGTCTGTTGATGTACCTGTCAACTACCTTATGCAAACATCATATTATTTAGAAAGTATAGTAGGCAAACAATATTTGTCTCATATTACTTTTTTTCATAGATATGCCTTTAAGCTAGATACTTTTAATAAGGTGAATATAAACAAATATATACACAGGCAACTGGTGTCAATGGAATCTACACTCTCTATGGAATCTACTCTCTCTATGGAATTTACTCTCTCTATGTAATCTACTATGTCACTAAATATATTTTGTACACTACAATAACAGAAATAAAAGACATCTCTAAATTGGAGCTAAATAAAAAGTAGAAGTATATAATGCCATCATCTTCGCATTAAACCGTTCCTTTACGTGTCAGTTTCACCTGCCTTGGTTTCTCCTTATGGCATGTCGTGAAAGAAGTCAGTGTCCTTATTGTCATTCATATGTGGAAACATCTCAGATGAAGATTATCTAAAAATAAGATAAAGTAATAAATAAAGGAAGGAAGGAAATTGTCCTCATTGTCATTCATATGTGGAAACATCTCAGATGGAGATTATCTAAAAATAAGATAAAGTAATAAATAAAGGAAGGAAGGAAACAACTGTAGATTTAAAGAAAATGTTTTACATTATGTTTAGGAAGTGGATTGAAGTAGAAATCAAAGGTTGGTTGACAGTCCCTGTCTTTTTTTACTCTTTATCTCGATATTTCCAACCACGTAAATGACATAGTGTGATATACTTACTATTTCAAGGCAAGTGAAGTGAAGATGGAAAAAAGATTAAAAATAGAAATTGTTTTTATCTGATGTAAATAAATCGTTCAGTGTGTCTTTTAAATATGCATAACGAGAAGATAATCAGACTTGCATACTCTAATAAAGGATGCTTAATCCACAACATATGTTCTGAGATGGTCTGACAATGTACATGTTAAAGAACTAGCTGTTCCGTACGTAGCACGTTGAAATGCAATTAAGATGTCTAAATTATACCCAAATACGCAAGTAGTGTTCAAAATATTTGTCCAATTCATACGGCCAAAAGGAGAGAGACAATAAAAGGGTGCAACCACATTAACAAATCAACCGAACTTTCAAATTCTGCCAACTGATATATGCATAAAATATTTACCACAGTACATAAGGCAGCCAAAAAATACCAAATTAATCATTGTTTCAATTGCAACATACCCTTCATTTTTAAGGAATTTCATGGTATGGTCAATGGCACATCTAGAGCATATGCAGTAGCAACGTCCTCCCCAAAGGACCCAATCATAACCTGCACAGCGTCTTCTTCTGCAAACGGCTTTACATTTTGAAGCACAACCTGCATCTGCCTCGTGGACTAAAACAAAATATCATAAATGTAATCAATGAAAGCGAGATATTTTTTGAAAGATATTGGTTATTGGCGAATATTTCAGAGAATCGTTGTCTAATGCATGTATAACCACACCTTAATTTTTCCTCGTCATTTACTCAGCACAAAGTATTTAAGTATTCGTCAAGAGATAATACAGACCACAAAAAGAATAGCATAAATTTGAGTGGGGATGAACATTTATGACAAAATATGGCCGGCATAGTTTTAATTTATAGAGACATCCGGAAATTAATTTTGTTAATATTAATTTGATAAGCGTAACAGTTTATAAACCTGAATCGAAGATGAAATATTGAGACAATAACAATTCGAAGATCGGTATTTTTGTCATTTTACTTTTGACTTATTTTTTGTAAATTCATTAAAGTTTATTTTGCAACCGCGAAGCAAAAAGTCCTTTATCGAAGTCACAATTCCGTCCTCTTATCTACAATTGTGACATTCCTGAATGAGACTTATCATCATTGATAGCATCTGAAATGGCCCTAGGTGTTTTGTGAGTTCGTCTTGCTCAGTCTTTAGTTTTCTATTTAGTGTTGTGTCGACTGTTGTTTGACTTTTCGATTTTGTTTTTGTTTTTCAGGACATAGTATTGTCGGTTTTTCTTCGACTTGTGTATCCTCTTTAGACACATTTTATTGGTACTGCTCCCCATAATCACATCCATCTTTACTGTAACAAATACTTTGACGTCGTCGTTCCTAATGAGTTTAAAGCGAACGCAGCAAGGACTTAAAACTTTTAAATCTGATTTTCAAACATTTTTATATGCCATTAAATTATAGTAAAAACATTGTGTCCATACCTTCAAGAATTACTGCAAGAGCAATAGCCAGAATAATTGCTACCTTCATATTCATCTAAAGGAACGTTGATATTGATCTAAATGGAAAGGGTTGTTACGTCATTGCCACAAACATGAAAAGTTATACAATGAAAAAGGAAGACGCAATGAATTGGAACATTAACACAGTAAACTCTCGTGAAGTATCAAATACGAAAGTTTGAAATGTCTATTCGAAACAAGATTAAAATATTTAGATTTAAATAATCATTTCAAAAATCAGAACAACCCCCCTATACATAGAGTGATCCAATTTATTTTTTGACAAAGTTACCTACCTTATGTGTATGATTCAGCTAATCAGCAGGTTTCGGTGAATTTAATTGGAAAAATTAGCGGGTTTTATAGCTTTTGATCTAGAAATGACAATTACGTCGGAGGAAGTTGGTTTGTAAAACGAAATTGGGATTGTTTTTACTGTATTATGTCTGAAATCTAGACCGTTTAAATAACTAGCACAAGCAAATCAAATTAGAAATAAAAATACATGATACCGGTGAAATAGTAAGGAAAACACAAGTACAAACTATACAATAATACAATAATAAGCAATATCGTATCAAAGTAAGATAACATTTACTAAAAACAAGCTCAAAGTACTTAAACTGCTGATATGAAATCATTTCATTCCATATTCTTATATTATCGGTGAAATATTTGCTTATCTTCTGTGAATTTGAGGGAAATGTTTTACTTTTGTTTTATCATACATTATATTTGATATGTTTCCCTCAGTTTTAGTTTGTAACCCAGATTTGTTTTTTTCTCAATCGATTTATGAATTTCGAACAGTGGTATACTACTGTTGCCTTTATTTATCAACTCGTTGACAAATATCCCAATTTGAACATTCTACGGTATTTATTAAGGGATTGAATGTCCAAATGCTTTTAAAGCCAAATAGCGTAAAATCAACAGGTCATCATAATCTGAAGAAAAAAATATAAGCAAAGATCTTTGATGTAAGATAAGCTATAAAAACGTCTAAACAACAAAATGTAAAACACTAAATGGAAAGTAGATACAACAGGAAGACAACGGCACTGTACTACAGCATCCTGTCTTCGAATAGGCACATTTAGTATGAAAATGAAATAATAAAATGGAAATTGCTTGGGCAGTGCAAGCCATAACTAAAATTATATATAAATATACTAAATAAATGATTTGGAAAATACGTTGAGGGTATAAAAAGTCATGAGAATTCTGAATGCAAAATACGTTGAAGGTATAAAAAGTCATGAGAATTCCGAATGCAATTAGGTAAATTTCCGTTAATATGTTAACATGTTGAACTTCGACCCCGGATTCAACCTGGGTTAATAAACCAATTGACAAATAGAGATCTCGATCCTTGCGCTCAAAATGTAATTCTAAGTGAAGTATACTGGCAATTTTTTTTTACAGAAATATATACACATTTTATCATTAATATATTGTCATGCTTCTGCATATTCACGTTTGTGCACGCTGAACTTTAGTTAAATTTGATTCTATACAAATTTTATTACGTCAAGCAATAGGAGTAAGAATATATTTTCGCGCCAAAATAACCTGCATCACTGCCTGCATCAGTATTCTATCGTAATCTGTCTGACATTTCATTTAAATAGCGTTTAATAATATAGAGTAATTTTGGTAAGTATTACTTATTAATGTTAAGGTTCTCCAGAGGTGGTTCTCTAGACCTTCTTGACGGTCAGTTTAATCCCATTTATCAACAGAGACATATAGTATTATATGTCTCTGTTATCAATTATCCCCGATGACAGAAATGTTAACCCAGTCGATTTGTGTCGTGAGTGAAAATCTTATCTATTTGATGAACTAATTTCTTCATTAACTGTACATGCGATATTTTTGTATTATTTGACAACCAATCACATTCACTTTGCATGATAAATGGGTTATGCATGTGTGAATTGTGTAGTGTGTTGTAAGGGCGATGCAAAATTGTGACGTCAGTGCGCGATCACGTGACATTATTATTTGTAAACAAACCGGCTCCCCATGTAACACGTGTGGGAATTATCCATACAAAGTGCAATCAATCTTGTATTTCACTATTTTATGATATTTTTGTGTCTGTTTGTAGGTTTGCAGATCAGTAGTCAAAGTAAAAATAGACATAGTGTTATTGTTCCTGTTCTGAGTTGTGATTTTTTTTATATATCCCGGATAGAATTAGAAGGTAAGTACATTAGTCATTATTTAATTTAAGTCTGAAAAGATGACCCAACTTCCCTATAATTTTTCCTCAATTTTTGAAACACGCAAAATTTAAAGAGCATTTGCTTCCCTTGAACACTATTTGACCCCCTCTACTCCCCATTTCCCTCCAAATTTGTTCAAAAGTCATACTCAAAGTCCAACGGCTGTTTTGTGATTTTGACATTTTAACTATTATTTTCATATTGAACACATTCATTCATTCAGCTTCCATGTATTTGCATCTCAAGTTATATGAACGAGGTGTTAGGTCATGTTTTCCTATACACCTTATTTTTATTTGTCTGCCATTACTGGACATCACCCAGGCTCCTGTAAAATTTTGATGTCACAATACAAAATATCTGATGCCACAATTGAAAATGATTGTTGCATGACATCAATAGTTCAAGCAGGACAGATTATCAGTTCAGCTTTTATGTATTCGCATCTTATATGAACGAGGTGTTAGTTTTATAACATTAAACATTTCAGCATCCGGAAAATGAAGCTTTGAGGTAGATATCTTTGTATTTAAATTATTTTGACATTGGAAACTAGACAAAAATATAGAATCTTATGATATTTCCATAAACCTAGATATACAGTATATTGCACATCCTTTTCTTTTTAAATCAGTCGGAAAGAAACTGTCAGTTTCATTTATTTTTTACCACTGAATCCCTTATTTCCGTCTATATTTTTCTAAAAGTTTTATCTACACCAAATTAGGACATGGTAACTGGTTCAACATCCGGGTTGTTTGGTTATAGAAACCCAACTTCTTGGTTCTATCCGGGTTCTTTTCTAAAATTCCTGTTAAACTTTGAGAAGATATCCGCAAGTATCCGAATAAAGAGATAAAGTAGGTCCAAGACGCTTACCTTGTTTTATATCATTTACATACATTCCAGCATCGCTGGAAAATGAAGCTGTAAGGTAAATGCCTTCTCATTTTAATTTTTTAACAATTTAACTGGACAAAAATATAACATCGTATGCATCTTAACCCAAATATGCATGTGCAGTATATCTAACATTCGTTTTTAGCATCAGAGTCGTTCCGTTTTCATTTATTTTTCACTACTCATTCCTCATTTCCGTCAATATTTTTCTGAGAAGTTTTAAAAACACTGATTAGGACATGTCGTTCATTTGGCCAATGATATGTGCATATAGCACTTCGATCCTTTTGTAGTAGCGGTGAGCATCTGGGACATCCATTTCCCTTTTCATATATTTTAAAAATATGTATCCTACATCAAGGATTTGTATAGTGAGAAGGATTGGAATCTCGCGGTATATCGACACTTCTCGCGTATCGTGAGATGTTGCGTACTCGCCACTATAAATTTATACGCGCCTGTTAGTAAATATCCGGTTGAACAGCGTGTATTATTGCAAGATAATCATTTCTGACTTGTTTGTTGTTAGGTTTAGTTTGTTTTATCATCTTTGATCAATATTTTGTTTTAATTCGCAAAGATATCACGATTCCTTCTGAGTATGTCATATTGAGGACCTCTCTCAAGCTGGAAAATAAACTTTGATAGTCGTTTACATTTGGCAGTTGCCGAAAATTATCGTAATTATGTTGTTGTTTTTCTTGTGATCGTAATTTGAGTAGCCCAACACATCTTTATGATACTAGTAATAGCTGTTTAAGATAACCCCAAAGAGAAGGTCAAAACAATTATTTATTTCCGCAGCTTGTCTTTGTCCTTTCTTCTAGTATATGAAACTGACCCAACTACCACAAGAGCATTGACAGTTAGAGGAAATCATACAGTCTTCAAGAATAGTCAGTCTCCATACAATATCTGTATGTTGATTTTTTTTATCATAGTTAAGTCATGAATAAATTTAACAGAATCAATATACATGTACAAATGTAAGGTCCGCAACAAATGAGAACTTAAATGAATTCATTGATTTTCAAGAATTCTCGTCTGTTCAAACTGCAAATACATGAGTGTAAACTGGAACTATAGAGGTTTGAGTTCATTGAAGGACTGGCAGGAAGTTAAAAATAAGTTCATGATTATAAACAACAGTAAAATAGAAACTGAAAAGATATGGAGTAAATGTACATGTACATGGGACTAAATGGCACACAATACATAGAAAATTATCGATGAACATGGCTTTTATTCCTGATCATCATCTTGACAGTTGATTTAGGGTCTTAACAATGAACGTATCATTCATACCCTAAAATCAATGGTTGTACCCATGGCCAGTACAAGTAAATTTCCCTTGTGAAAAACATTAGCAACACAAGCAACTAACAGCATTTTACGAATAACTTTGATGGGTTATCTGCTTATTGTATCATACACCCTACTCATAATTTGTTTAACATTTTTCACGTTGTGGCCTTTTAGAGCCAACTATACAATATGGGTTTTTCTCATCGTTGAAGGCTGTACAGTTGCCTATAATTGCTAACATCCACTTCATTTGAATTTGATGGATAGTTGTCTCATTGGCATTCATACACGTGTACATCTGCATATTTTTATATTTGTAAAGATTTGACATTTTTTATTAGCATTAAGAGCATATATAAGTGGACAATCATTTCATTTTTAGGGGGTAAGGCAGGAGGATTTCTCTTGGACAGATTATTCACAAATAGTCAATATTATTTCATTTTTATCTGTTGCTCAGATTGTTTATGTCACATAGCTTCATTTTCACTTTTTTACATAATTTTTCATGCTTAATGTGAGGCAGAAATGCAGCAGCTTATTCATTTTCATCTTGAACGGGCAACATTATTTCTTCTACTAATTCTCACCAAGCTAAAATATTCATTCCCACATCACCCCACCTTCATCCCATTGACCCAATAAATCCATTGGTTATCCACTTTCAAAAAGTACCTACATTGTACCTAGAAAACCTATCTTAGTGAACACTGACCTGTCTTCGTTTACATCCTTGTCCTTTGATCTCCTGATAGTTGTCTTAATAGCAATCGTACCACATCTCCTTATTTTTATACCCACATGAAATATTGTTTTACATACCTTATGAACCAAGCATGAAAGACCAAAAAATGGAACATTGTTACAAACTAAACTATCTGGGAACACCCAACCACAGAAATGCTGGTACCTGCTATGACATGTATGA